TTGTCATGTAATGAGTTTTTGTGAGTATTGTTGCATATTCCATTGTCAAACTGTTCCAGCCCAAACTATTCATACATGCTTTATTTCACAAGCAAACTGTTTCAGGCTAAATATTGTCAGTGAATTTATTCTGACGATACAATGCCTTTCAAAAAAGAAAAAAGTTAGTGAATTTATTTTTTGATTTACTTGATTGCATTTTTTATGCAGCTTCACTGTTTTTCAAGGACCATTGATAAATGATAACTATTAAGCCATATTTTGTTTATAGATTTCAAAAAAAGGAGAATAGTAGCATACCATAGACCAACCTTGGAGCATGAATCATCTGGTTTGGATGCTTTGGCTAATGCTGCAATTCTTGGAGACAATGTAGATAATTTAGGCACTACATCAGTGGCAACGACAACTAAACACCCAAGGCATCGCCCTGGTTGCTCTTGCATTGTGTGCATCCAGCCTCCAAGTGGGAAGGGAAAACACAAGCCTACATGCACATGTAACGTGTGCATGACAGTTAAACGTCGTTTTAAAACCCTCATGATGCGCAAGAAGAAGCGTCAGTCAGAGCGTGAAGCAGAGATTGCTCAGAGGAATCAGAAAGCATGGGGCTCTAGAGAAGAAGCAGAAGTAGACAGCAGCTCTAAACATGTATCATCGCACCATGATCCTTGTGAGAATGAAGCAAGGTCAGTTAATGAATTAGAATCCAAGAGCCAGGGCAATAACCTACCCCCCAAGCTGGTTGAAGCTAACAAGGGACAGATAGACTTGAACTGCGATCCTGATCGTGAGGATGATTCACAATTAGGTTCAACCCAGGTGAGCATGATGAGTCTTCTTCAAGTAGCAAGCCTTCCTTTGGAGACTTACCTGAAGGAGAATGGTCTTACAAGCTTGATATCTGAGCAGCAAGCAAACTCCGCGTCACATGCTCCACCACAGATCGTTGCTGAGGGTGACGCACAAGATAATAGCTGTTTCCCTTCGGCAGCCGAAGAGCATGAGAGTAAGGATGAAGAAAATGGTGAAACTGGATCAGATAGAGTTGAGAATGATCCTTAATAAACTTCATCATCCCGTTGTTTTATTTATTCTTTTTAATCCCGTTAGTGTATAAATTATAAGGTTTATAGGGCATTTGGCAATATTTTCTCTAGAGGGTGCTTTTTGCCTTTTTAATCACCAAATATGTAGGTATACACAAAGCATTATTTGTTGTTTCTTAATTTGAAAGGGGGTGTATATTCAAGAATTCGAAACCAAAAGTCGCCAGAAACAGAGATAGCATACAAATATATCTATCTACACATTTTGAGATGCTTGTGGTTGATATTGTTGGCATTCCTTTTTCTGCTTTTTTATAAATCCAGCAAACCGATATGCTTCTGTTATTACAAAAATATAATTCATATTGAAAACAAATGCCAACTGATTGGCTAGTAGTTCTAGGAAAATATTGTAACTTGTGGAAGACTGAAAGGCACTTGGGTCTCCTTTGTCTTCGGACGCAAGCTCTTTGGCTTTACTTCCATAGGCATCCCCTCCTCCAACTAACTACGTAGGCTCTTTTCATTACCTTGTTAAGTCTGGATAGAATCCCGTGCTTCCCTCCGAGCTTCACCTGAAGTGGCCTAAACTTCTTGTTAGCATTTGGTGGTGGCATTGCACTCACACCATCCAACAATGACAGACCCTTCAAGTTCTGATTTTTTTTTTCTTTTCTTTTTGTTTTTGCTGGTCGTTTTGTTGATCTCATTGCAACCTGAGGTTGGCTCTTGAGTTTGTGTATTTTCGTTCTCTCTTAAGCTTAAGCAGATTTCCTGCCTAATTCAGGCAGCTTTTGTAAATCCTCTTTGTAATGAAATATTATCTTCATTTTCAATAAAAAAAATACTTTTTAAAAATTTTAATCATAATTCAATTGTACTTGATGATATGACATACTTAGAATCCAACGTGAAACATCATTTTTAGAATCCAACGTGTAGCTGCCGTCGTCGATTGTTGAACACTTGTTGGCCATCGGTCATCGGTGTTCAAATAATTTTTCAAAAATTAAATATCTAAAAACAACTTAGGATACAAGCACCATAAAAAATATCAGAAACAAAAACAAAATATTGTAACAGGAAAGGTAATAATTTGATGTTTTACATGAGTAGAAGTAGAGAAGGTAGTATAGAGAGTAAAAGTAGAAACAAAATATTGTAGAACTTGGAAACCATTCACAACAACAACTATCCATCATTCTGCGTTTCCCCTAAACTTTACAAAAATATCAATAATATACACAAACCAAACACAATCACAAAAATTCGGATGGAAGCAGAGAAGCAAGACAGCGAAAATGACCGCCTTACATGACATAGAAAGATAAACCAATGTTCAACATTCGGCCTGAAATCACATCACTGAAGCATCTCAATCATGCAGGCGTGGTTGAGCTTGAAAAAAATTTGGGCTCCATTTACGGCTATGAACAAAATAGATGAAAGAACTTTCCGAACAGCCCAATCTGGTTGAGGTCAATCAAAATCAGACTTAGAAAAGTTGAATCTTGAACCCCAATGGCCAATCAATTGATAGTAGAGACTCAAGTTCAAGGACTAAGTAGGCTTAGTGGATTGAAAGCTTGAAACGGTTGAGACCCATTATTTCCTTTTGAACAACAAATCCAAATACTTCAAAAAAAAAAAAAAATCTAAACAAGAAAAGCAAACTGCCCACCATGGGAAGGAATTAAAATGAAGTTAAAAGGCTGTTCATTTTTGTTAACAACAAAGAAAAGAAAAAAGAGAAAAAAAAAAGGTTAATGCATCTGAGGCTTTGGAGTGGACAGTCAATATTCAATACTAATGGATTCAGGTTAAACTATGGTTAAAACTTAGAAAGGTAGGGCTAATTCATCTAAAAAAAAAAAAGTTATTAAAGTTTGTTTTAAATAAAAACATAGACATATTCATTTATTTTCTTTTCACAAAATTTTGTTAATTAGAAAATTATGAGATCTAGTTTCTTGTTAGATTAAAGTAAAAAATTTGGACAAAAGAAAAAAGAAAGGCAAGAACAGGAAAAAATATTAAATGGAGAAATAAATTAATCAATATTTAAAACTAATTAAAGCTAATCAACCCAAAGAAAACGAGTTTCCTAGTCGAAAACATAGAAATATTTAAATGGGGTCACCATTTGCATTTATCTTTTTCCATTCCAAATGTATGAGACAACTTGAAAAGAAAAGAAAAGAAATAGTTTAAAACCACTAGAAGAGTATCCTCATTCCTCCTACCCCGAAGCAAACATTTCAAACAAATTCAATTTTACATTTCTTAGAACCTCGAGGAAACTTTTTAATCATATTCTCATCCAGCTCATGCTTTGTTATTTCTTCGCCTGGATTAAACTTAATACACATCTTTTCCAAGACTTTGTTATTTTCTAATAAATACATAAACCATGTCCACTTCATCTTCCGATCCCCAAAGATTTTTCATCTTAATTTCGTTTAAATGTTGTGATAAACAGTAAGATATAGACCCGGGTGGAATCCATCCAAAATTAACTTCTTGCATTAGCTCATCCTATTCGACCGTGGGATATTCCTGACGAGTAGCAAAACCATATATATATATATATATATATATATGTATTAATTCTAGAGATACACCATATTAACCACTTAGCTAATATATGACAACTTACCTTCTCCAACACAAGCAATAGTATTTTCCCAAAGAGTTAAGAGACTTGGCATTTCTAACTCCTTTGAGAACATCCATCACTCGTAGAGCTCGGTACTTGGCTACTTCGTTGTCTCTCATGTAAATGGTATGGCCAATACTGACATTGGCTTCAATTAAGGAGCGTATGGAGGGATCTTGACTGATGAAATATTTAAGCTTTGGGGTTTGAATAATGAACTGGTTCACCAACTCATTTTCAAAATTATCATAAATCAACTCAATTTTCAACGTTTCAATATTGGTATAGAATTTCTAAATCACCACCATATTGAAAATCTTCATATATAGAGAAATCTACAAATACCGGACAGTTACATAATAACTTGTTCAAAAACTCACCATCCGGACGTTTCAAACTGGGGAAACATTTGTTTGTTGAGGGAATATCAAAAACGAAGTCGTTTCCCAGATTTAGTGCCACCAGTGAATTGCAACTTGAAAAGTTACAAGGCAACCTAATAGGAATTCTCTCCTCATCTGGCACAGGCTGGTTGAAGCTAACAAGGGACAGATAGACATGAATTGCGATCCTGATTGTGACGATAATTCACAATTAGGTTCCCCCATTGTGAGCATGATGAGTCTTCCTTCAAGTAGCAAGCCTTCCTTTGGAGACTTACCTGAAGGAGAAAGATCTTACAAGCTTGATAACTCAGCGACACATGCTCCACCACAGACCATTGCTGAGGGCGAGGCACAACATAATAGCTGTTTTCGTTCGGTCAGGGCAGAGAGTAGGGACGAAAAATTAAGGTTATAGGGCATTTGGCAATATTTCTCTAGAGGGTGCTTTTTGCCTTTTTAATCATCAAATATGTAGATATACACAAAGCATAATCTTTTGTTTCTTAATTGAAAAAGGGGTGGTGTATATTGAAGAACTCGAAACCAAAAGACACCGGAAACAGAGATACAAATATGGATTCCTTGTTGATTCTTCCCCTCCTTCCTTTTATCTTGTACCCACGGTGCGGAACACAGTACACTGAACTTTATTTTGAAACCTCTCACCTTTATCGAAATGTTCATTAAATAAGAGCGGATTCAATTAGTAGAATGTGAGATACAAAGCTAGAGCTGAGCTTTAAGCGCGAGAGGAAAGGGCTTTGTAACTTAAAATAAAGACTCGTTTAAGACGGCCATTTACCTAGTCGAAAACATAGAAATATTTAAAAGTTGTCACAATTTGCATTAACAAAGTGAAAAGAAAAGAAATAGTTTAAAACCACCAGAAGAGTACCCTCATTCCTCCGACCATGAAGCTAACATTTCAAACAAATTCAATTTTACATTTCTCAGAACCTCTAGGAAACCTTTTAATCATATTCTCATCTAGCTCTTCCTTAACTAGTTCTTTGACTGGATCAAACTTGATACACATCTTCTCCAAGACTTTGCTATTTTCTAATAAATACTTAACCACGTCCACTTCATCTTCAGATCTCCAAAGATTTTTCATCTTAATTTCCTTTAAATGTTGTGATAAACAGTAAGGTGCAAATCTTGGTGAAATCCACCCAAAATTAGCCTCGCGCTCTATCTCATCCTCTTCATCCATGGGATATTCCTGATGAATAGCAAAACCATATATATTAATTCTAGAGATACCATATTAAGCACTTGGCTAATAGATGTCAACATACCTTCTCCAACACAAGGGACTTGAGACTAGGTGAGATTTTTAGGAAATGCGGCAATAACTTCCATCCAAAGCAATAATCAATCCCCAATTGTAGATGCATCAAATGTAGAAATGTGGGGAAATCGTCAGCGTCATTAAAAGTAGAGCTGAGAGTCTTCATGTGCACAACAAACAGCAAAACAGCACCATCAAATATTGGAATGCATAAGAAATGTATAAGATTGTTAATTAGGGCAAAGTACTTACAGCAATAGTGTTTTCACAAAGAGTAAGAGACTTGGCATTTCTAACTCCTTTGAGAACTTCCATCACTCGTAGAGCTCGGTACTCGGATACTAAGTTGTCTCTGATGTAATTAGTATGGCCAATACCCACATGGGCTTCAATTATGGAGGGTATTTCATCTATCACAAAAAAAGCTATGGAGGGATCTTGAATGCTAAGATATTCAAGCTTTGGGGTCTCAATAATGAACTCATTATCCAACTCATCTTTAAAATCATCATAAATCAACTTAATTTTCAACTTTTTCAATGTTGGCATAGAAATTTTGAAAGCAAAATCACAGTCACCACCATACTGAAAATCTCCGCATACAGAGAAATCTTCAAGCACCGGACAGCTACAAAAAAGCTTGTTCAAAAACTCGTCATCCGGACTCGTAACATCAACATGAAGGACTTTCAAACTGGGGAAACATTTGTTTGTTGAGGGAATATCGAAAACGAAGTCGTTTCCCAGATTTAGTGCCACTAGTGAGTCGCAACTTGAAAAGTTATCAGGCAACCTAACTGGAATTCCCTCCTCATTTGATGACAGGAGGAGGAGCTCAAGCTCCTTAACGTTGCAACTCATGGCATAGCGAATCCACTCGTTGACACGAGGTAAATCGCTTTTTAAGTCATAAAATCGGAGACTGAATTTCTCAATATGGTTAGTATGGTGAAGGCGAAGAACGCGGTCCACAAAGTCCATAAAAAAATTACGATCACCAAGGAAATCATCAGCATCGAATTCAAGATTGTCTATATGAGTCCAAAGGTACCTCCATTTACTTGACAATACGCTTGTTTGAACCGCTTCTATTGTTGGAAGATAAGAGAGGATATGACCCAGAACCTTTTCTGGTACTTTGCTGATAACATCTTCTTCTTCTTTCCTCATTGCTTTAAGTGTACCCGCATCCATTGGTCAAGTTAGGGCGCTTGTGACTTACCCTGCAACTGCAACTGCAACAACAACACCCAATAATATAAGGATTTAGGATATGGCAAAGGCCAAATATGCAATATTTCTTCAACTAATTACTGGACAAAGAAAATCAAAGAGAGGCACCCAAACAAGTTAATTGGCAATCAAGAAAATCAAGGGTAGGCAGAAAATACACGACTTCTTGCATCAAAAACATTGCCATCATGCAGTGAAAGCGAAGACCGAAGAAAGTGAAGACTTAAAACATAGAGAAAACCTTAGGAAATGATTTTTCTTACGCTGATCCGTCTTCTTATTGGATGTGACAGAAGAATGCATTAGATTTTGGAAGGAAAGAATCAAAGAAAAGAAGTTCTCCTCAATTTTAAAGGGGTGACTAACGAGGGGAAAACAAATCGGAAATAAGAATAAGAGTAAGATTACTTACAAGTGGATGAAAAAACTCAAAACTCAATTATCACAATCAGAATAAGTGAAAATGTTTCTCTGTTGATAGAAATTAAAAATTTATATATATATATATATATATATATATATAGTTGTTGAAAAGATAGGTCTTTTCATTGAATAATATATAAATAAATAACTGTAATTTTATATCAATGAATAAACATATTTTTTGGGTTTTCGATATAACAAATAGATATAATTTTTAATTATTATATATAATTAAAAGTTAAAAATATTCGTCATCATTAGGAATGAATGATGATAATGTAACGTAGAGATGGTCGGGCGGAGCATGGCAGACCATGAGATTCCTTGTAAATAGTAACCGAAGAGAGTAGAAAGAAAAGATACGGTTTTGGTGAATGATTGCTTGTGGCTTGCATTATCCCCACTAATCGTTCGTGTGTGTATTTGATGCAACGTAACCGAAACCTCAACCGTAACGCTTTATCAATTCATTGCACATAAGCTTAACGGTCACGTTTCATCATTGGATTACACATCAGCGCTAACTTAAAATCTGTTTTAAGGTTGACATTCAATTTTTAATATTCGATTAAACAATATTTAATTAAATATTAGGAAATAATTTAAAAGTGATTTAATTAATTTTAGTATTTTCTTTTCATAAAATATTAGATTGTTGAATATAATTTAATGAGATTTAAGAAATTAAAGATATTTATGGGTTGGATGGAGTTGGGTTTTATTGACACCTCTAAAATTTCATTCAATTTTCTTTTTTGGATTCAAATGTTGATCCCTTTAAATTTATTATTAAATTATAAAAATTATATTAATAGTTTGTATTTTAACTATATTTTAAAATAAAAATTAATTTCTATTAATATAACAATATAACAAAAATATCGGATAAATTACTTCTATTAATATAACAATATCCTGCTTGAGCCATAAATCCTATCCGAAGTCCAGCTTGAGTCAGGCCAGGCTCACAAGTTAGTGAGTTCTCGACCTATGGACTAGTCTATTTAAAACTTTAATGATGACGTATAAGATTACAATCTTTTAATCAATCAAATACAAAGACAAATAAATAAATAATAGAGAAATTAAAAAGTTCAAATATAAAATTTGTGCTATCTAGAATATAGATATTTAATATGTTAGTGTAAGTACTTTTACTTATATTATAAATATTTATGAATTTTTATTCTTTTTATTTGGACATTTTTATCAAATTTTCTATCTAATAATATATTAGATTCATGTTACAAGATATTGATTCAATATTGTTCATCAAATAGACAAGTTATTAATCACCTTTCATGAAAAGTGATTATTAATTCGATAGCCGCATGGATACGGTTACTAAGAATGCCCATAGAATATTGTGATTAACATGTTTTGGCTAGAATCGGTAATGAGATAGGAAGAACAATGAAAATTGATCGCACAACCTCTAGTGCAACTAGAGGAAAGTTTGCTCATTTATGTGTCGAAATTAATCTCAAAAAGCCTTTAGTGCCAAAAATCTTCATTGGAGGTAGATGGCAGAAGGTGGAGTACGAGGGGTTAAGGATGATGTGTTATCACTGTGGGAAGTTTGGGCACTATGAGGAAGGCTGCATAGTTAGACAGAAGGAAAACGAGGGTTATACTGGAAACCAAGCCATAGCTTTGGCAGAATTAGCTGTAACCAGAGAGAAGGACTACGAAACTCATAGGTTTGGCCCTTGGATGGTAGCCAGGAAGAATAACAAACGAACGGGAGGACCACGGGCTAACGCAACAGCTGTTGAGGAACTTCCTAAACCTTCAATAGCCTCAGGCTCGAGATTTGTTGTGCTTGAAGATGAAGATGTTGGGCATGTTGCTGAGGAGTTTACACCAGTGTCAGAAAACAAGGTAGAATTTGATCAGGCGGTGAGTAAACTGAGCAAGACTAAAGGCCCAGCCTGGAATAAAGAGCTTTTCAAGCAAAATTTACAAGTTTCGGCCAATGTCTCAAACAGAGACTCTACACCAGCTTCGATAGCAAAAGGAAAGCAGCAAATTGCTAGAGAACCAAAGACAGTATCGTCAGTATCTTTAGCAATGCCAAAAATGAGAGCATCTAGTGAGAAGATAGTAACTGAATTACCTGAGAATAACAACGCTGACGTTTCACAAGTAATATCCCTAAATCTTCCTAAGCTGTCATCTCATGATCAAGATATTGATGACAAACCTGGAGTAGGGGTGAATGACATGGCGAGAGAAAGGCAACTAATGACGATGGAGGAAAGTGGTTTAGATGATGCCGAGAAGGGGGATGTAACTACTGACATGGATTTGGAGGGTGACAGAACAGAGGTCATTCGTGTAACCTCCTCTTAATAGGTGACTTTGGCCTCTCATGTTTTTTTTAGTCTAATATGCTTTTGCTTACTATATATAATTTTTTATGATAAATATATTATGCTGGAATGTAAGAGGAGCAGCCTCTCGTAGGAGTGTGAGGAATATTCGCAATGTGATAAAGCTTTTCAAGATACACATTTTCTTTCTTTTGGAACCTCGTATTTCTGGTGCTTATGCAGATAAAGTTTGTCGCCGGTTGGGAAAGTTGAACTATTTTCGAGTGGAAGCTGATGGTTATGCAGGAGGAATCTGGGTTTTTTGGGATCCGAAAAATGTTGAAATTGATATTCTGGCTTATTCCGGCCAATTAGTGCACATGATGGTTAATTCTTCAAAAGCAAAATGGTTGCTCACAGCAGTATATGGTAGTCCAGTAGTGGAAGAAAGGAAAAGGTTATGGCTCTCTCTTAATATGGCTAGTGACTTGCACAATCTTCCTTGGATGGTGATAGGAGACTTTAATCAGGTAACTTCACCTGATGAAAAAATAGGAAGGACAGGAGTTAACTTAGCTCATTGTAATCTTACGCTAGATTGTATGAGTTACTGCAATTTATCAGAATTAGAAACTGGGTGTCCCAAATACACATGGTGGAAGAAAAGGCATGGTTATGATTGCACCAGGGTCCGTTTGGATCAAGGATTAGCTAATGAAGAAAGGCGAACAATTTACCCCCATGCTGAAGCTTTTGTTTTGCCAAGAACACATTCTGATCATCATCCAATCCTTGTACGGTGTACAGATTCCCCACTTTTACTACAAGCTAAGAAGAATTTCAGATTTGAAGAAGCATGGATGACCCACCCAAACTTTATTGATTTTCTCAAAACAAAATGGAGATTTGCAGAAAAAGACATGTCTATTACTTTGAAAGGATTAGCTGACAATTTGCAACAATGGAGTTTAGAGACCTTTGGAGATATATATAAAAAGAAAAAGAGGTTACTAGCGCGTCTCAAGGGAATGCAAAAAATACCTGATGCGAAACCCAGCGATTACCTTCAACATTTAGAAATTGCTTTAATTGAGGAGTATAACCTTGCTCTCTATCAGGAAGAGTTGATTTGGCAACAAAAGGTTAGATTGGATTGGCTCAAATATGGAGATAGCAACTCAAAATTTTACCATGCTCTCGTGAAAAGCAAACAAAGGAAGAAGAAGATAGTTGCACTTCGCAGAGAAGATGGATCGTGGTGTACGGATCCTAAAGAGCTAGAGGAGATGGTTGTCAACTATTATCAACATTTATACAAGGATGATGGGCTTCGGGTCTCATTATCTGTATCGCCAAATTGGAGGTTAAATGATGATCAAATTTCAGACTTGGCCAAGGGGTTATCTAGTGAAGAAATTCAACATGCCTTATTTGACATGAACCCAAGGAAAAGTACGGGCTATGATGGTTTTCCAGCGAGCTTTTTTCAGAAGAACTGGCAATATATCAATGCTGATTTGGTTAATTTTGTCCAGATGGCTTATGCTACAGGCTCGGTCCCGCCAGCTTTGAATCATACATTAATTACCCTTATTCCCAAAGTTGAAAGTCCAGAGAAAATCACTCAATTTCGGCCTATTAGCTTGTTTCTGTTCCCCTTAAATTGATTAGTAAAATATTAGTTGATCGGTTAAGACCAATGCTTGAGGGATTAATCGGAAGATCACAAAGTAGCTTCATTCCGGGAAGGCAAGTTGTAGATAATGTGATAGTAGTGCAGGAGGCTATCCATACAATGAGGACCATGAAACGAAAAGGAGTTTTGGCACTTAAAGTGGATCTGGAGAAAGCCTATGATCGAGTTAAGTGGAGTTTTATTCGTGAAGTAATGACAGAAATAGGAATTCCTTCTAATTGGATTTCTCTAGTTATGAACATTGTGCAATCCCCTACTTTTGCCATTATTTGGAATGGGAATTCGTCAACAACTTTCTCTCCATCAAGAGGTATTAGACAAGGAGACCCTCAATCACCCTACCTCTTTGTATTATGCCTAGAAAAGTTATCTCACTTAATTGATCAAGAAGTCGGACAAAGAAATTGGAAGCCATTGTCTTTTACAAGAAGTGGACCCAATATATCACATGTTTGCTTTGCAGATGACCTCATGCTATTTGGAGTGGCAACTTCACAACAAGTTAAAGTGATGTTAAGGACTCTTGATAAATTTTGCCAAGCATCAGGTCAGAAGGTGAATTTAGAAAAATCCTCCATGTTAGTTTCTGCTAATATTGACTCCATTAAGGCGAAAGCTTTGAGCCAGTTAGCTAAAATTCCTTTAGTTAAGGATTTTGGGAAGTACTTAGGAACTCCAATGATTCATGGAAGAGTGTCAAAAGCCACTTATCAGGAGCTATGCAGTAAAATTAAAAAAAGATTGAAGAGCTGGAGCAATCAGTCAATAGTTCAATGGCATCATATGTAATGCAAACTACTCTCATCCCAAATAACGTAGCATTGGAAATTGATAAGCTTAATAGGGATTTTATTTGGGGTCACTTGGGTGGGATGCAGAAGCTCCCTTCACTCAGTTGGGAAATAACTTGTGCTTCAAAGGAACAAGGTGGGCTACAGATTAGGGAGACTAAGAAGTTTAATTTGGCTTTACTAGCTAAGTTAGGGTGGCAGGTATGGAAAAATAAGGACTCATTTTGGGTTGATATATTGAAGAGCAAATATTTAAAAAACCAAGACTTTTATCAGTTAAAGCTAAGAATACAGACTCTTATACTTGGCGCAGCATATTGAAGAGCAGAGAGATTTTGATTAAAGGTCTAGGTATGATCCCAAATAATGGACACTCTACTTTATTTTGGACAGATTCCTGGCTAGCTTGTGGACCTTTATTGAAATTTGCCAATAGAGAAATCTCTATAGTGGAAGCTGCTCTACCTGTGGCAAGTTATTGTGATGAATATGGAAATTGGGACTATCATTCATTACAACACTTACTTCCTGCGTGGATAATGAGGATGATAGCAGCTATATTTGTTGATCCCAGCAGTACTGTAACTGATGAAGGATATTGGACTTTGACAAATAATGGAGTTTTTTCTGTAAAGTCAGGATATAACTGACAAAGTGATGCTTCATTAACGACATCTATACATTGGGAGCCAATTTGGAAGATTGCAAGTCCTAGGAAAGTTAAAGTTTTTCTTTGGAGAGCCTTACATGAATCCTTACCAACAGCAGACTGGCTACTAAAAAGGAATGTGATTTCTTCGAGCTTGTGTTTTAGATGTGGTAATGCTACTGAAAATTTAATACATGCTTTAAGAGACTGCAACTACTCAAGAAATATGTGGCTTAATATGCGACCTGATTTGAACTCTAATACTTTCTTTACTGTGGACTTACAACAATGGATTCAAGAGAATATATCTGTTTCAAGGCTTTGTGATGGAGTTCCATGGGGAGTCATCTTCTCTCATGCAATATGGATGTTGTGGCATTGGAGAAATAAAAATATGTTTGACTGCTCTTTTCATTGGCTAGATAATGCATCACAATATATATGGTGTAAGGCAATTAAGATGACAAAAGTTGGGTTGAACTTAAAAGAAGAAGATAAAAGTTTGAATCTTAAAAATTATAAATTTTTGAAACATTATATTTAATATGTATAGTCCGAAAGATGATACTCGAAATCTACTGTAACTCGTGTCAGATATTAAAAGTATTATTTAAATTCGTCTCATAATTGAATATGAGATACTTAAACCTTATGTTATCGGATTAGATACATGTAGATATCCATATAATAACATTCCATTTACATCTCTATTCAAGAATAATAAGTTTAAATGGAATTGACATCTAATCGGTTAAATGGTTTTAAATTGTGAGTATCTTAACTTTTAAAATTAAACTCTATCATGAACCGCATATGAGAAATGATATTATTATTCATAATTTACCTGTATCCATTTAATACTGTTCAAAACCATTTTAATCAAGTTTAATAGAGAAAAGTATCCGAATACAACGTTTGAGCTGCCATCCCTACTTTTATACTTAAATTTATAAAATAAAATATTATTTTTATTTTATAACAAATAAAAGTGTGAAAAACCTAATACAGTTCGACTTGGTTAAATTATTTCAATTGGACAGAATTTAGTACTTGTGAGCCCAAACCAAAATCGAGCTGAATACGTTGAAAGCACGTTTCGAACCGAAAATTGTGTTTTCAAGTCGGCTTTCCATTTTGGTTTTAATTTTTCAAAACTAAAAGTAAATAATACAGAATTTCAAATTTTCATTTAATAACCTGGAAACCGAGTCGAAAAACCAGTCCTGAACCGAACACGGTTATTTGAGTTGGCTCCTTGTACACGAGTGGAAATTTATCATAGGTGCAGACGAAAGTGATATGCACGGAAAAAAACAAGAAGTTTCACGGTTACCACTAAGGAGTATAGTGTCCTCTCAGAAAAAATCATTAGGATCTCACATCCTGTACATAAGTAAACTCTGATATATGAACATACGTATACACACACAGACACCATAGCATTTTGGATTGGAAGAAAATAATCGATCCATTTTCAGATCAGGCTTGCACTCTTATCTACAAAACAGCATCCTCTTTTTCATCATCTAGAGGAATAGGGGGTGGAAGAACCACATCTTTATCTTCTATATGTTGTGTTGAATTTAAAAGAAGAAAATAAACAAAAAATGAAAAAATGCATATTATAAACAATCAAAATCCTTCCACACTAGCCCTTCTAAGGGCTGCTGATGATGATCTCCGACTTTCTTGCCTTTCAAGTTCCTCTAATGAGAGGGTAGAGGAACAAGCACGTGGTGGAAGAGTCGATGGCAACGCAGATGGTCTTGTAGGAGAAACAGACAGCCGGGCTCCAGATGGTGGGGATGGTGAGAAACTTAACCTGGGTCCAGGAGTGATGATCCCATTAAGACTAGGTGACCTTGACATCTGTTTTCCAGCAATTGCCACTGGCTCTTGCAGAGGAAACCGACAGGAATATTTCATGTCTTGGATAATTTTGAGATGCTCAACTATGGTTCTCATGGTTGGCCTTTCTGATGGGTCCTTCTGGAGACATCTTTGCGCTATGTCAGCCACTGTGCGCGCGGCTTTCATAGGAAAGCGACCTTTGAGCTGAGGATCCATGATGAGTGACAATCGACAATCATCAGCTAGGAATGGTCGGCTCCACTTCACTAGGTTCCTCTCTTCCCTGGGATGTCGGCTGTCCAGGTTCTTCCGGCCCGTGAGCAATTCAAGTAGAACAATTCCAAAACTCCAAACATTGCTCTTTGGAGTTAGCCATCCTCTCTCCAGAGTCTCTACTGAGAGATTTGCAACAGCCTGCGCAGATGGAGAAATAATCAACTTCCAATAACTCAAATAGGAAAATTTTATCTGTCAACTCATCACACAATTATCTGTCTTCTGAAAGCAACAAGAATTATGGATCACCTACTTAGAGACCAATTGGAAAGGCAATGACTTACAGCTGAATTAGTTGAGATCTCTTCTGTCTCCGGAATATGACCAACACACCCATATCCTGAAAGCTTTGCACTGAAATCCTTGTCAATCTGTATGTTGGCCGTTGAAAATTCATTGTACATTGCCTGCATATAACAAGATTCTTTCTGTGATTATGCATGTAGAAAGTTTAGAAAAGTAACTGGGAAAATAAAAGAAAATTTCCAATAGTTACTAACCTACACAAACTAATGTAGAAAGCAGAGGTAAATTGTTTCATAACACCACAAAGGACAAAATAAAACAAAACAGAGCTTATCAAACAGAACTATCATCCCCATTAGGCATGATTAAAGCTCAATCCACAGGGGCACATGATACTATATCATTTAATTTCCTCATCTCAAAACGCAGACATAGAGATTTGAATTACCTGAAATGGCCCTTCCTCATGCAAGAAAGTAAGACCCTGTGCAGAACATAAAGCAATTTTCATCCGGGTATTCCAATCAAGTGGTGGTCCATCTGATCTCCCATACAGAAGCCGATCTAAGCTTCCATGAAACAGCCTCTCGTAGACCAACATTCTTTGTTCTGAACTATCACGTGCATGGTATCCAAGCAATTTACAGAGGTTTGGATGTTGCAATGATGCTAGAGTGTTTACTTCATTTATAAACTCCCTTAAACCCTACAGGTATACAAAAAGAACAGAGTGAGACTGGATAACGATATCCTCAACAATTTCCCAAATTAAAAGCAAACATTTTAGTTTTGCAATGTCTAACCAGCACAATATCCATTACTTGTTTAACTCAATTTATTTTTATCACTGTTGGCAGGCATATGAGATGAGTTAATATAATAAAACTGTATATTTAAGGAAGGCAGGCGTCTTAATTCAGCCAAAGGCAAGGGCCAGTGAATGCTGACTCTTCCTTTCCCCTACCACAGCAAAGATACAGGTGAGTTCACCACCACAAGCATCTTAGTAGAGAATGAGAAAACAATTGAATTTTCTAAATAAGATATTTTATGCTAGATAAGCAATTGACAAACTTTTGAGCTGCAATACTTCCAATAAGTTTGGTCTTATTTCTAGGCTCTTGGTCGTATTCCATGAGAAATATAAAATATAAAAGGACCACCAACAACAAAATCTTTCCCATTAAATCCATCAATATTAAAGGATCACAAAAATAATGCAAACTAATCTAAATTACCAAAAACTTCCTTCTCCTTCTTTACAACTAGAAATCATCTCAGGCTAGCAAAGAAACAATAAGGAGAAGATTGTAAAAAGAAAAGGAAGGAGATTTAATTGGAAAGTATGTGGTTCACAAAACAAAGCGTCCCATAAACTGTAAATTTTTCATTAGTAGAAATTTTATTGTACCTGAGTGGATGGGTGAAGGCGAGTAACAGTAGCTTCAAACTTCTTTGAACTTGATGTATCATCTCCGAAGGAAGCCTTATACATAACAGAAGACAGACCCTCAGATGTGCATCGATCAGAAGAGAAATGATGGCAAGCAGCTGCGATTTCTTCATAAGCAAAGTTTCTGAGTGTTCCAGAAGGAGGTAAGGGCAATGGTCCAGAAGCAAAGAGAGGGCCACTGGCATTCCTGTTTTAAAGCTTCCCACTGTCTTCAGCACAGTACCATGGGGAGATGGAAGTGGAAGAGGCTGTGGAGTTGATGACCTTTGTTCCTTCACTAACACAGCACGACTCTTCGTTCCTCCTGTTCTTCAAATTCAAGTGATGCAAGCGCATCTTGCTCAGCAGCATCAAGACTTGACGGAGCAGATAATGCACGTGTCCTATTGCTGGTTGACTTGTTATTAGGTTGAATTGGTTTTACTCTGGTTCTAAAACTTGGGGGTGCGGATTGCAGTGATCGGGTCTGAACTTGGGGCTCAGGCAGTGTGGTGGGCATGTACTTCTTATGGGCAAAGCGATTTACAAAAACTGACTGCTCAGACTTTTTCTTCTTACTTTTCAAGACTGTAAAACACCCCATCTTATATACAAATCTCCTAAACTGTATTTAGGTCTTTTATGTTTCTGCCAAAATAAAAATAAGAAAGCACACACAAATCAAGTTTTGATTTAATAAGAATTGGAACAAAATCAATGCCAACACATACACATAAAAAATCCATGACAAAGTGTGTCAGGAGGACAAAAAGGGATTGGAGTAACCCATTGTCTTATCATATCAGACGAACAATGCATATACACCAACAAAATTAATTGAAAAAAAAGACCAGTGCCTAAACTACAACATTTGAGCCATCAAGCATCTCTTTATGATAAAATCTAGGGCTTCATTCTTTGAACCTGTTACACAGAGTAGTTGTTATAAAATCACATGTAAGAAAACATGTCCAAATAGATATCTACACAAACATTGCACTGTAATTTACATCAAGTCCACATCAAACCAACCCCCCTCCCCCACCATCTTCAATTCAATAATAACTGCATAGATTCTATGGATAAGGCATATGCCAAACTAGTAGCATGTTGCTCGACCAAAGCTGTTCCGATTTCAAATCTTTTACGGCCAATTAGTACAATAAACGACTACATGGATGACTTGTGACACATTACCTCACTAATTTGCCAAGGCAGCAAGCTCCATAAACTCTAAAATAATTTAGTGAACAAGGTGACAACCAGGTATAAACTTTCAACTGCAAATTTACCAACTAAATCATTGACATGGCTCAATAAATAAAGAAAAAGAGAAATAACGTCAAGGACATGGCTTAATGCAATTTAAACCGCTAAAGAATTACAGGGGAATTTTTTAAGAAACTAAAAAAACATCCACTGCTCCGCCAACCATTTTCATGGCACAAATCACTACGTATACAAATGGGCAGTATTAAATTGCAACAACAAAAATTGCAAAGGCTTTGATACTTTCTTCCCCCCCCCTCTCCACCCAGCCCCACACATGCCGATATATATGTATAGAAAAGCAGCATCTGAGCAGCAGCTTGGTAGAAATATCAATCCCAGATCCAAAATAATCCAAACGAGTGAAAGAAAAAATAAATTTCCGCATCCACCAAACAGCTATTGGAATTTTCCCTATCTGTATGATTAATATAAAGCAGAGCATGCCCATTTAAACAATAATGAAATCAAATCAGGCAACAAAAGCAAACAACACAGCTTTCGGACAAACCCACCCAAAAATCGCTAGTTTTTCAATGATTTCTTGCAGAAACAACATAAGGCAAAAAAAAAAAAAGAGTGAGAATGAAACCTTATGAAAGCAGGTCATGCAAGCCAAACTTGAGATATATTGAGGTGCAAAAATGGTGAAAGCTGAAATGATTCCTGCTGTTCTGTTTAGATGAGGAAAACACCTTTGCAAGTCAAAGAAAGCTATTGGGAAAAGCTGTTAAGAGTAGGAGATTATTGAGAGAGAGAGAAAGACAGAAAGAAAAGTAGGCAAAAGATGAGAAGAATATTATTACTATTATTATTAGAATGAAAATAAAAAATTGAAGAGAGAGAAAGAGAGTCTCAAGGAGAAATGGAGCCCATTGAGCAGTGGTCAAACCAACCAGAACCCGGATTTAATTAACAATTAAAACTTATCATTATTATTATCTCTCTACAACAGAAATGTGCTCCCCATTTCTTCCACTTTGACACTTTTGCCCCTCCACTCACTTTTATATAGTATTCTTTTTCTTCTTAATCTTTTTCAGAATTTTTTTTTATTAATTTAAGGAGGGTCTCAAAGTGCCCCCTACGGTTGGCTTATTGAAAAGAAAAATGTTCATTTGTAAAGTTATTTATTTATATCATTTTATAAGTAATTGCATTGAACTTGAATAATACCAAAGTACACAAAATATAATTATTTTTTACAATATTGAAATTGTAAAAAGGAAATATAAAATAAATGTAGAAATACGAGTGTACAGGGGGATTTGTGGCATGAATGGAAAATTTGGAAAGATGCGTGAGTAAAAGGGTAGATTAGGTGTGCACCTCGATTTTCAACGAAGAGCGCCTGGATTGAAGTGACAGGCCAGTCAAAGTTTTGAAAATTAGTTTTTTTTTAAAAGCATGTTTCCGGTGCGGTCAAAGTGACCTATCAAGATAGGCATTTGACTATCACTAGTGACCGTCCGATTCTTTCCCGGTTGGAAGATCCTCGGTCAGGATCTGTTCTTTCAAAAGTTTGATGGGACCCACCGACATCAACAATTTTGTCCTTTGCCTAATTTGGTGGTGGACACGCTCCTGCTCGCGTGGGCGATTTCCCGTAACCGGAAGGGGGAAAGAAAGAGAAAAAAATGTGGGTCCATATGGGCCTACATTGGCTAACCTTTTCACTGTTTAATGAGTGCTGCGATCCGGCGTCGGTTTAATGCTCGTTTAATGCAGATTTTATGTTGGGCCCAAACCAGAATCAGGCTGGGCTCATGCTCTCGAGTTCTTGGATTTGAAATTTTGAAAATCAAATCACAAAGAAATCAAGTCATATTCAGCATTTAAGGAATATTGCAGTTTGTTTTATTTCCCTTTTATCAAGGTAAAAATTCAAAGTCATCCCCACGTGAAGAGGTCAAATCCCTGATCTTTCAAATGGCAGGCTATGGCCCCTTAGAAATATAGAATAAAAGTTTCGAATTGTAAGTGAAATGGGAAATTTAAACTCTCTTTATTGGCGATTTGAGAGATATATACATCTATTGTCAAATATATAAATGGAATAAGAGATGTAACTAAATTTACTGTTTTCTTTAGGATGATAAATTAAATTTACAAGTTTTTAGAACGGATATAATTTTAACACTTTACTTATACTAATTGTTTATTTTTTTATCATTTTTAAATCAAATTAAGAGTAGAGTATATATATGGAAAATTAAAAATTATAACATTTGCGCCTTTTGTGTTTTACCTAAAAATCATTTTTTTCATGAGTTAATGAGTACTATTAAGAAAAGAAAATAATTAGTACTAATCAACTGTCCAATCCTTTCCATTTACTTTTTGCAAATGATTCCTTGTAATTTTTGAAGGCCAAACTTAGTAACTATCAAGTGATTCCTAAGATGCCAAAGGAGTATTGCTTACCTTCTAACCAAATGATTAATCTTCAAAAATCAAGCATCATATTCAACTCAAATGTTCCCATATTGGAAAGGCGTGAAGGTCGACTTCCTTCTTCCAAGTGATTTCATTTGTCTTTAAGCCTTTTCATTTCACCAAGTACTTTTGTCTTTGTCGTCAATTGAATATTGTTGTTCTCTTTGCAAGAATCTCCTTTACTTGAAGTTGCGATGGTGGCTTGATGCTGATGGCGGCTTTTGTGGCTCGACTTTTACTTGTATCTACTAGATTTGCATAAAACGACTTCAAATTACTAATGTGAAACATTGGATGCACCTTCCTCCATTCAGGTGAATCAATCTTGTAAAAGGTCTTCCTTACTTTAGCCGTAATTAGTATTGGACCTTCATACTTCCATATTAGTCATTGATCTTTTTTTCTTAAGAATCTAACTTGATCGGGCACCAATTTCACTAGCACAAGGTCCTTTACTTTAAAATGTTACTCTCTTCAACCTTTGTCTGCCCATTTTTTCATGCGATTGGAGGCTTTGATGTGATCTTAGTGTTTGTCTTCACTCTTTAGTACAGTTAAAAGCTCAAGGGCTCTTCTCGCTATAAGATTCCATCGAGATGTGAGGAAGTCTAGGTTATTGCCCAATGACAACTTTGAAATGGGTTTTGTTTGTGACAGAGCTTTTCTAAAAATTAAAACATAATTGAGCTACATTTAATAAGTTAAGTCAATTCTTCTATTCTGTCTGTACAAAGTGTTGCACATATTCTTTTAGCAGTCCATTAAAGCATTTTGTTTGACCATCTATCAGTGGATGATAATTAGAAAAGATGTTGAGTTCTGACCTTAATAACCTAAAAAGCTTTCTCTAAAAAAAATAAGTAAACCTTAGATCTCTATCACTGATAATGCTCTTAAGAACGCCTTAAAATTTTACTACATGTTTGAAAACCGAATAAATTGTTTCTTCTGCAAAGCCAAACTTTTGTATCAGAATAAATGTATCATGTTTTGAAAAATAGTCTACCACCACCAGAATTGCTATCATATGTCTCAACTTTAGAGAGCCTTAATATGAAGTCAAGAGAAATCCTTTCCCGCGGTATGGTCAGTACTGGTAGAAGTTCAGGCATTCCTACCAGCTTCTGTCTCTCCATTTTGTCCTGTTGGCAAATAAGACATGTCTTGGTGTAACCCATCACATCCTTTCACATATGAGGCCAATAGTAACCTTGTTTTAGTAATGTCACAATGCGCTGTCACTCTAAATGTCCTACCCATTGAGTGTCATGACACTCCGGCATCAACTTCTGTCTTAACTCTCTAGCTCTCAGAACAAATATCTGTGGTTCTTTTGTTAATAGGAGTCCATTTTTTGTCCAAAAATACTTGGACTTTTGCTTAAGGATCTAGTTTCAAGTTCTTTTTAATAAAGTTACGGATGTCCATAGTTACTCTACTTATTGTGATTAGATTTATCACTCCGAGAGCTGCGAATTCAACCTTTCTGTTAAAGGGTCCGTCAATTGGTTAGCTTTTTCAAACTTATGCTCAAAGTAAAAATCAAATTTGACTAAGACCTCTAGCCATCTCACTTGTTTAGCTATGAGTTTCAGTTATGTCAGTACATCATCGGCATGAATTGTTTTGACTCGAATTTCCTTCTTATCATGATTAGGGCATAGCTGATTACTCTCCAAGGTCCCATTAATGGCACCCAAGCATCTCCATATTTTTACATAACTAGACAGTGAGGCATCGATGGAGCCCTCCATGTTACTTCCACACTTATGAGTTTTCTAAGCCCAGAGACTCATTGCTCCTTAGTCTTGCTTTTTAGCAATTCACTCTCACAAAACTCTTTGATGGAAGTACTTTTTGGATGAAATGGTTTTCTGAATCATTTGACTTTACATTCAAAGTGGCTTGTTATCAAAATAGACAAAAGTTATACGCATCTCACAAATTGCCTTTTTTCCTTTTGACGACAGTAATTTAGTAACTTGAAAGTTTATGTTAGAATCGATGGCGAGGGATTAGCCTTGTTAATGAATTGCTCAAAGAAATCTATGATAGCCACCTCTATATGCCCTAAAACTTCAAGGAAGATGACCAACCCATGTATTGCTAATGCCATCATAAGTTGACCTTACTCAGTGTATCGATGGTTCATGATGTAGTTACCCAAAAAACTCTATGTGATGCATTCATTGTTTCCTTTTTTTAATTTATTTTGATCGACATCCTTAGAAGTTATACTCATCATTCTAACTAGCTTTCGTCTATGACCGATCTTTTGTCTTATCTAATATATCTTATCTGGATTGTCAATATATATCTGGAGCGGAGTTGAGTATTCTTCGATCGTCAGCACCATGTTTACCTCATTAAATACAAAACATCTATATGATGGATCTCAGAATTGCATGATAGCCTTCAACAACTTATCATCAACTTGCGCCTTAAAGAATCAAGCTATGTGGTCATATTTCTTATCAAAGCTTCCTCAAGTTGTGGCCTCCATAGTTCCCATAAGCTGAGCAAGTCGGTTAAATCATTCTGTTTAAGATGAAGGTGAACTTTCTCGGGTATAGTCGATATGTGCCCTTTGGTCAAGCAGGTGAACTTTCTCAGGTATAGTCAATATGTGCCTTTTGGTCAAACAATCCCCTTCACCTTGTTAAGCCTGTCTCATTTGCAATTTCCCTTCGTAGTCATTTTTGTATTTGTTGAGTGGGCCCGCTGAAGATGACGCCCTGAATGTCATTAGTATTTCTTTGGTTAATAGATGTTGTGCTATTAATATCTTTCTTACATGCAATTGTGATGGATGCAAATGCATGCACGTAAAAAATAACGATAACAAAAATAAACTCAAGTTAGTGTGGTGTAAAAAAAAACTTTAAAAGGTAAAATAATTCAAATTTAAAGAATGACATGAGACATGCTAATTAATATCATGGTTACTTATTACATCGCTAGACATTATCTATTTAACGACACTTTTATTATTTTGTGGTGGGGAATTTAGAATAAAAGGTGCGAAAAGATCCCTTCATGTGTTCCTAATCAAAGGGTATATTCTCACAGGTAAGGCTTTATCTAGGAAGGGCTGCTCATAGCATTCTATATACTTGGTTTGGGTTTAAACTGAGCTAAAGATTCTCAAATTGTTCTTCACTGTCGTCTACTCAAACTAGTAACGCATCTCGATCCTCACCCATTACAAGTTTCAAACGGATTATGTTCAATCTAAGTGGGAGTCTTAGCTAGCCCATGTGAAGATTATCATTTCACAAGAACGTAGCTATTAAACTCTCTCTTAACAAAGAACATAGCCTGAGTCGAAAGCTCATGCATGAATGCAAGATGTGTCGTGTGTGTGAAG